CCCCAAAACCCCAAAACCCCAAAACCCCAAAACCCCAAAACCCCTGAGCAAGATCTTCGAGCTGAATTTATAAAAATTAATCACAAAATGTCTGAAAACACACTAAAAACAAAGAAGAAGGAAAAAGTCTCCTATTTAAAGAAGACAATGGAAAAGAACATAAAGAAGACCAAAGCTGTCAAATTAGTCAAGAAAGGTAAGCTTGCCGCCTAATAAGCTTCTTTTTAAGCTAACATTATGATCATTTGGGTAATTTCATTTGAATAACACTCACTAATTTTGATATAAAGACAAGAAGAGAAACATCAAAGCTAAAATTGCCACTTTTGAAAGTGACTCTGATGATGGAATGACCCATACAGAAGCAGAGAGCACCAAGTCTTTAGAGATGGAAGCATCTACTCTTTTTGAATCATACAGGGCTATTGGCTACATAACCTCATCTACTCCTTTTTACATCCACAAGAATGAAGAAGACAGACTCATGACAGTCAGTGTGGATCATGCTTTTCATGTTTACAACTTAGATAAACTAAGACTTGTGTACATTAGTGGATCACTAAAGCAGAAGATCCTCCAAATGCAGACACATAAGAATACTTTCACTCTCTTATCGAACAACTCTATTGTAAAATGGAGGAGAATGCATATTGAGATGGTCTACAACAGCTTTACCTCTGAAATACTCCAATTCTTAGCTGTAGGTGATATCCTCATAGTACTATGTGAAGACAAAAAGTTGTACGTAATTGAGCAACAAACAGGTTTCATTAGATCTATACAAACTCTTGACTTTGAAGCGTATTACTTCATGCATCCTGTCTCATACCTAAATAAAATTATACTAGCTGGGGAAGGAAACTCTTTACAAATTTACAACATTGAAGCTCAAAAAGCTATCTATAATTTCAAAAATGTTACAAAGAAGCTAAATGGAGCAAGAATACTCACAATTGAGCAGAGCCCTCTTGTTGATATTGTCGCACTTGGACTTGAGAGTGGTGATATACTTATTGCCAACTTGAAGCAAGATAAGATTATTACAACTTTCTCTCAAGACTCACCTGTCAAGAGTTTGTCTTTCTCGACTGACGCTTCACTAGAGAAAAGCTTACTCGCAAGCTGAACTAGCACTGGCTCAATACTGTTTTGGGATCTGAATGAAAAGAAAATCCATTCTGTAATTCAAAAGGCTCATAACTCAAAGCCAATTGACAAAGTCCAGTTTCTCAACAACGAACCAATAATAGTATCCAGCTCGGGAGAAGACAACTCGGTGAAAATGTGGCTATTTGACGTTGATAGAGAAAACATGATGCATAACCTCGGCTCAAACATCGCTCCTAGACTACTCAAGGAAAGGAGTGGTCACTCAGATACTCCTCATAAGATAAAATTCTATGGAGATGATAGCAAACACATTGTTTCATGTTCTGAGAATACTTTCCTAAGAGATAATTCTTTGATAAACGAACACATCAGTATGAACTTTGGCTACAAAAAGAACTTAAATAAGAAGAAGATAAGTGAATTAGGAGAAAACATCGGAAATACCCTAGACTTCTCCTTCTCTGAACTGAGAGAAAGAGATTGGCCTAACATCATCACATGTCATTCCAAGCTTGCAACTCCATTGATCTGGTCAAAGGAGAATAGAAGTCTCTCACAAGTAAGTCTCTATTAGCGAACTCTATAGACAACCTGTAAACTAGAGTCAAAGGATTCAAAAATTACCACTTGTAAAGCCTCAAGCTGTGGAAACTTTGGGTTCCTAGGCTTCGAGAATGGAGGAATTGTAAAATTTAACCTGCAAAGTGGAATTGTTCGTGAAGAGGTCTTTCCCACTGACGATCTTGCTCAGGCTTCTAGTCTTTCAATCTCAGGAATAATCACTGACCAGTTGAACAAATATGTGATCACTACTTCCCTAGACGGAACTATCAAAGTGAGAGATTTTTTGAAACTCACTGTTCTCCAAACCATTGAAGTTGAAGGAAAGGGTGCCATAACCCATTTGGAAAGCCAAGGTGACTTATTCTGTGTGATTACAACAGAATCTACTTCTAATCTTTCTCTGCTAGTTTATGATTTAAGCACAATGAAGTTAATTAGAAGATTTACAAACATCCATGAAAACGCAGTCACAGGAGTATGCTTCTCTCATGACTCAAGATGGGTTATCACCACAAGCATGGATAAATCACTCAAAGTATGGGATTTACTGACTTCATCCCTCATCGACTGGATCAAATTTGTGGATATCCCAAGATCAGTTGCTTATGCTCCCACCGGCGAATACTTAGCCACCACACATGTTGGAAAGAAGGGTATCTATCTATGGAGTAGCAAAGCTTTCTTTGGAAATGTGTTCATCCAAGATGTACCAAAGAGGCCTCATTATCTAGACTTGCCTAATATTACAGACACTGATAAACAGAAACTCACCCACCAAGACTTCTATGAAGCCAAACAAAAGACTCAAGCTGAAGAAGAGGATGAGAAGAGAATGGAGAGCTCTCAGATTGATAAAGCATTCGAAGAACTCCTTAAAGATGACAAAGAACTTATGAAGACTAAGAATAGCACAACCTGTGCGAAGATTTCAGATGATCCCTTCAGCAAATGGCAATCTTTGTACTATATCGATAATATTAAGCAAAGGAACAAGCCATTAGATGCTAAGGCTAAAAAGCAAGACGCACCTTTCTTCTTGTTTGACCTTGAAAATGCTATCGGAGGAAATGATGCTGGCCAAGATCTTTATGGAGTTCAATACTTTACTGGAAAGAAAGAGCTCGATGACGAGTCGAAAACCTTGACTTCAATTATCCAAGACAGTAAAAACTTAAGCTCTTTAAATCAAACAGGAAATGTTCTAGAACTGAAGGAGCTTTTACAAAAATACCACAAATCAAAAATTTCAAGTTCTAAACTTCTTGACTACTTCAGAAAAATCTCCCCATCAGCAATAGAGCTCGAATTCCTGAGCCTGAGCGATTTTGAGTTCGACACAAACAAAAAGATCGATTATGTAACTCTTTTATCACTAAAATATAGATTGATACATTCTTAAAATTTATTGAAGAGACTATCGAGTCAAGACAAAATGTTGAAATTATCCAGGTTCTTCTCTCCAACTTCATTAAGGTAACAACAATGGCTTAATCTCTAGAACAACTTTGAAGAAACCATGGTCCAAAAGGCCAGAATTGAGTCAATCTTAGCTAAACAGGAAGAATTTGCTTCAAAATTCGAGGATCTTCTATTGTACAACATGCTGATCTAATAACACTTGATAACTCAAAATTATGAACTCAATTGTGAGCAAGATCTTCGGGGTTTTGGGGTTTTGGGGTTTTGGGGTTTTGGGG